TATATATATTTATTTATATATATATATATACATATATAGATGTATGTATGTGTATGTGTATATATATAAAAAAGAGATTGTTATTATTTTTTTCATAACTAACTGCATTCAACATTCAACAGATTGCAACTCTAACTGGACATACCATGAGGGTGCTCTACCTAGCCACTTCTCCTGATGGGCAGGTTTGTACAATTTATAATACCAGCATACCACCCAATTCCTATGTATTTACATATATGACACCTAACTTTTCACATTCATATCACCCAAATCTTTCATATCACATGAGAAAATGAAACTATTTTAACTTTTAAAAAGTGAAATACACCTTTTCATGCGTATGTAAATCTTCCATAAATTTTTCACTGAAGTAATAATCCAAATTAGTTTTTATCTTCCAATCTTGCAGACAATTGTGACAGGCGCAGGGGATGAAACTCTGCGGTTCTGGAATATCTTTCCTTCAGTTAAATCAAAGGTAGCCGATTCTTCTTCAGTTCTAAATGTTTCATAGCCTTCCCTTCTGAGATATAATGAAAGGGAGTTTGTGTTTCTAATCACTCTACATTTCTTTCAGACTATTGTTCGAGATTTTGCAGCTTGGTCAATGGGGCGGAGCCACATAAGATGATTTGCAGACCATGTAGAATAGATCTGACCACCATATTAATCTTTAATGTAAAGGGACTAACAGAAACGTACCTCATTCTTACCTTTGAGCTCTGTATGCATCATTTTTTTATTATAATGCTGTGCTGAGATGATGCATCAAAATATTCTTTGAACTTTGGCATTGTTGATTAATTTTAAAATAAATTGAATTTAATGGGATCCTAATTTATTTGCAGAATAACCGTCAATGCATCATGATGGGCTTCTAAGAAAGAAAAAAAATTTCTTCGTTAGATATCATTTTTAATATTTTTGGGGGCATTTACGTGCATAACAGATAACATCATGGACTTGTAAGAAAGAAAAAAAAAAAAAAGAAAGTTGTTTTTCTTTTTCCTTTTTTTTTTTGGCGTCATCTTTCTTTCAAAAATAACAAACGAATGGCTATAAAATGTTTTTGATTTTACTTATTTTGTCAAATCCCATGAAGCTGAAGCCAGGCCAATGTGCTTCAAATTGTTTTTGATTTTACATGTTTTGTCAAATCCCATGAAGTTGAAGCCATGCCATGGTGTGTTTTCTCAAGAATATGATTTGGTGCATAAATGCGTGGAGCGTATACTGTCTCTTTCGAGGAATATGTTGTAGCGTAAATCCATAAAAACAACTTCAGGTGTTCGCAAGCTAACATCAGTCCATAAGTTTTGGGTGAGGGTCAAACAACGGTCAAAGTACATATTATCAGAATTATATATATTTATTTCCAAATTTTTTTCTTGATAAAATGATTCAAAAAAAAAAAATAGTAAATTCATAGGTAAAAAATTAAATCTACTTTTGGTGTATAACATCTATACAATTATTTAGGAATAAATTTGGTCATGGATAATGGTAATGAAGTTTTATGCAAGCATTCTATGACAAAATGTACTATATATTTTCGATTGAAGGTGAGTTCAATGTCTCATATATCATTCTGAAGGAAATGGGCGTTAGATGAGAAGGGGAAAATTTCCGCATACGCGTGACTCAGTGGAAATTGAGTTATATTATAATGCCCATAAAATAGAGGAATAAGATGTTAGAGAATTGAGGGATAAAGGAATACCATTTGTTAAGGGTCAATCGAAACATAGATCTATTAAAAAAGTAACTTGAAGGATGGAAACTAACATCAAACGAAGACGCCCACATTTATCTAGTGTAAATGAATAAATTTAGTCAAAATTTATGAAAGTTTTTTTAACAGGATGGCTGTGATGACTATAAAATTTTAAAAATTTCAAACCTTATTTACTTTTTATGTTATAAAATATTTATCAATAGTTTAACAATTAATTTATATGTGCAACCCTTGCTCATGCCAAACCTCTCACAATCATATGTGACATCACGTAGTTTTACATACTAACAAATTTGGAGATTTCACTTGAAGGCAACCTAAAAAGATATTTCTGTATATAATTGTATATATACAATTGAGGGATTTTTTTTCTTTTTGTATAAAGCGCTAGAGTGGGTGCTCTTGCATGTGATTATTTTTAATAATACTTGTTATAATTACTTAATGATGTTTAATATTAATTAAACCATTGTTTGTGCATGAATTGATTGTTAAGGGCGACATGTATGATAACTTGGCATTTGTGACATAGAGGGCATAACTTAATGACATGTTGAAAGAACATGGGAGATGATGGCCTTGTAAGGGTTCATTCTGTATTTTTATGGCAAGAAGGTTGCATGAGACAAGTGAGAGGAATGAGGCTAAAGAGAGCTAAGTGAAGCTTTAAATGAAGGCTTTTACTAAGATCTTTTCACCTAAAGATAAGTAATCTTTATTTTAATGTAGAGAGCAAAATTTTCTCTTCTTGCATATGAAATATAGTATTACTTATTGAAATGCATAAGCTTGCCTCATAATGAGGTGATATGGAAGTTGAGTCACTATATATTGATCATTGCATGATTCTACATGATTTGAAAGAAGTTACACATATGTTATTTTATGATTTGTATGCTACTAGATTTATATTTGTTGCCACAACATCATGGATTTCATACAAACATTCATGATTCTAAATAATTTTACATTATGCTTTATTTATGTCTTATGATTTATATAATGCAAGTTTATGATCATGCTTACTTACATTGATGAATGTTTGATTATACCATGAATTATATCATTTATGAATGATAATTGTTTACCTGAATGATTACTATATTATGACATGATATTAGTATGTAGAAATATTATGCATGAGTAATATCTAATGATCAAGAGTTTAATGTTTAATGATTATTTTTAGATGGGACAAATTGATGGGCTTGGCTAAATAAATACAGAAGAGAGTGGTTAGATGGATTGTAAAATGGAACTTGCAAAATTAGTTGTTTGTAACCACACATGTAAGTGTTGACAATACATATGTAATAGTTGATAGGTCGGTTGACAAGCATAGGATATTTTATACTTTGTATTTCAAAGCTTACCTAATGCAAATATTCTTATCAAGGTAAGCCACATGTCAAGGTTGTAATAGTTGATTGGTCACTTTATAGTTATTTAATTATTTTCAATTATCATTAAGACAAAGTAATTTCTTGTCAACTCAATAATGAATAAAAAAATTAAAGTCATTACATTTATATTGGTAAACCATACAACAAAAAATAATATATATATATAAATCATGATATCATATCTTTATCAACAAAATATCTATGCCAACTTGTTTTCAAGATAATATATCTTAAATTGCAAACATAATTTATGTCAGGATCTCAATAATGACTAAAAATCTCTGCTCAACATAAGTCTTAATCTTTCCTTAAAATGACATATGTATATAAAATAAGGGTTGCTTAACAGACTACTCAAAATCCACTATCACTATTAATTTATAAAAGAGAAAGAACATCAATTTGCAAGAAACTATCTTATAAATACTAAAATTTGTTTCAAATGTACTAACATAATATCTCATTATATCATATATTATATCTATCATGTACAATATCAGTAAAAGAAGTTATCCTAGTATGTATATATGTTTATATGTATGTTTGTGTGTGTGTGTGTGTCTGTGTCCATATATATATATATATATATATATA